ATGAAGCCGCATAAAAATAAATTGCTCGATGCCCTTGAAAAGCGCTATGAAAAATCACTTGACTTCTTCCTCCGCTTTCATAAACAAACGGTAATCGTTGCCGGTGTATTGATCTTAATAATGATTAGTATCGGTGCCCGTTTAGGCACTGAGTTTTTACCGGAGCTGGATGAGGGTTCCATCTTTATGCGGGCCTTTCTTCCGGCGGGTATTACTATACAGGAGAATGCAAAGATTGCTCCTAAAATAAGAGCCGTCATTTCCAAATACAGCCCCATCAGGTATGTGATTACACAAACCGGCCGTAACGACGATGGTACCGATCCCTTCCCGACCAACCGTACAGAAATACTCGTTGGTTTAAAGGATTATAAGCTATGGAGTGATACCATTAGCAAGAAGGAATTGATCCGAAGGATTCAGGTGGACCTCGAACGGAACATACCCGGAGCGTCTTTTAATTCCGGGCAGCCGATCATTGATCAGGTGATGGAAATTGTGACCGGCAGTGCTGCTGATCTCGCCATTTCTATAGTTGGTGACGACCTGGAAATGATGCGGAAAAAGGGCGACAGCATTGCCAATATCGTGCGGGCTACCAGCGGTTCTGCTTCCGTTAATATTGAGCAGGAAGGTATGCAGGCGCAGCTAGCCATTAATATCAACCGGGAGAATGCGGCGCGGTTCGGTATTAACGTAAGTGACATCCAGGCCATGATCGAAGCAGCCATTGGCGGTAAGCCGATCGGTACCTTGTACGATGGCACGAAGCGTTATGATATGGTGATCCGTTACCTGCCGGAAAGCCGGAATACCATTGAATCCATCAAAAGCCTGCAGGTGCCTTCTGCCTCCGGTGCGCTGATACCGATGGATGAACTGGCGGATATAAAGTTTATAGACGGGCAGACCAATATTTACCGGATCGATGGGAAGCGGATGATTACGGTACGCACCAATGTAAGAGGACGTGATCAGGGATCATTTGTAGCAGAGTTGCAGAGAAAGATCAATGCACAAATCAAAGTGCCCAAGGGCTATTCAATCATTTATGGCGGACAATATGAAAACCTGGAACGAGCCGGTAAACAGTTGTCATTGACCATACCGCTGACCATTGTCATTGTCTTTGTATTTCTGTTCATGCTGTACAAAAACATGAAGCAAACCTTTGTGACCATGAGCTGCATCCTGTTTGCATTATCGGGCGGTATCATTGCGTTGTTTATCCGGGGATACCACTTTAACGTGTCTGCCGGGGTTGGTTTTGTATCCATTTTCGGTATATCGGTAATGGCCGGCGTATTGCTGGTATCTGCACTTAACAGGGAATTATATGAGTCGCCGTTGACGTTAAGAGCTTCCGTTCAAAAGGTTGCGGTATCGCAGTTTAAAGCGATATTG